GAGGGGGGTTCATTGCCTCTTGACCGGGAGGAACTAGAATCATATATTTCTCAAATTGAGCCTATTGATATGCATGATGAGGGTACTTCTGATATAAGTGCCTCTGAGCTTGTAATTCCTTGTGAAAATGGGGGAAAGGGTGCTGCAAAGCCTTTGGAAGGTTTGATAGTTGATAAAGGATGTACTACAGCTGTGGCCTCTTTGCCATGTAGGAATAGGAAAAACGAGACGAATGTAAAATCTTCAATAAAGATAGCTTCAGATCACATTAAGAATATCAACAAAAGTTATTTTAACTCGTATGGATCTTTCGGCATTCATAGAGAGATGATTAGTGACAAGGTACTGCCGCTGTTAAAGTTTGAATTATGGTCTTGATATGTAAGCATGCACATTCTTAGTTCCTGATGATTCATGTCAAATATGCAGGTGAGAACAGAGGCCTACAGACAAGCTATTCTTGAAAATCCTTCTCTTATGAGAAATGCAGTTGTTATGGATGTTGGTTGTGGGACTGGCATTTTAAGGTGCAATAGTACTCTTCATTATGTATGAATTCATTCGATATCATCGATGATGCAAATCTCAGTATAGATTATAACTTTTACTGTTTTTTTGCAAGGTAAAACTCCCCATGTTTTTTCTTTTAGTATAATAACTAAATGCATCCATTAATATGTCAAGATGAAGTGATTATGGTGACTTTTTGTTGCTGAGATCCCCCCCTCTCGTTTACTAGCCTATTTGCAGCCCAAGCAGGAGCTTCAAGGGTTATCGCAATCGAAGCCAGCGACAAGATGGCTGCAGTGGCTACCCAGGTTAACTTTAGTCTGATCAAATATTAAACTATATATCTGTATGCCTTTGTAGTTGGATCTTTCTGATTGATAAAAAAAGTTCAAGTTCGTGCAGATTGCAAAAGACAATGGGCTTCTGCGAAACGAAATAAGCAGTGAAAGCAATCAACAAAATTGTGTTATTGAAGTGGTTCAAGGCATGGTTGAAGAACTAGAAAATGCTGAACAAATCAGTCCTCAGAGTGTGGACGTGTTATTCAGCGAGTGGATGGGTTATTGCCTTCTTTACGAATCAATGCTAACATCTGTACTCTTTGCACGGGATAAGTGGTTGAAACCTGGAGGCGCCATTCTCCCGGACACAGCTACTATGGTACAGTGATACTTATTACTTAAATATTCGATCTTTTTTTTTTGGGCTATATAATTTCATCCTTCTATTTTACATTATAATATAATATATGGTTTTTCTCGTATTTGTACGTAGTTTGTAGCTGGATTTGGAAGAGGGGCTTCCAGTATAAAATTCTGGGAGAACGTGTATGGTTTTAATATGTCATGTATTGGTTGGGAGATTGACGAGGATGCTGCTCGGTTTCCCATTGTTGATGTGATTGACAGTTGCAATATTGTCACTACCACTGAAGTTCTTCAGGTTTGTGTCTGGTACTGTGCTTTTCGATTTTTGTGAAGAGAACCCATTATACTTCTTGTCATACTAAATTCAAATGTTTGTTTCTGT